TAGTCCTCCCAGTTCTTAGTTTCAAATCATTGGCGACCCGCCACTAAGCGCGCCCGTGCAATCATTCGTTTTTGCAGTATTTCATACTGTTGTAAGACCAGCTGGAATCCTAGTAGCTAGAATTTGTTACATGCTGGTCCTCGAAGTTCAAAAAATTAGTTATGCAACTGCATGGTATTTGGCCGTGGAACATTCCATCAAATTTTCAACTTTCCATTTTTTTGGCTGCTGGGTTAACAATTTTCCCGCCTGAAATTTACAAGAGCTCGCACGTGAGAACCAACCTACACCTGTGGGTTGAATTTGGAATCTTTAAGTTCTACGTGGACGGAAAACATCCTCTCAAAATTTCAGCTTTCTAGCTTTCCTGGTATTCGAGCTGGTGATTTTTCTGCCAGCACTTTCACGCCCTCGTACGTGGGTCCATACGTGCATGAACGTTGGTACTGCGGTCCTGGGTTGGTGATTGGCTGAAGAACCCAAGGCGAAATTTTGAAATGCCCGAACAGACGCATGCACACAAGCACACATACACGCTGACAACCTCTCGTCAATATGCATTTGCCGCATTGCTTAGCTGCAAAAGAAGCACAATAATGCTTAAAAATAATATAGAAGAAAAAGTTTCTTTTGCATGTAGTGCTGCCCGTATGGCATCCAAAGGCGAGCAAAGGGAACGGAAAAAAGAGGAGGAAAGATCCAGAAAAGACTTATGTACATCTCCTGTAAGGATTGTTGAAATGTCGTGCGGGTTACGGTATGCGAAGAAGGCAGTGCCTATTTTAGTACAGTAATCCATCATCAGCCGAGAATTTCAAATTTATCTGAGTTGATAATTTTAACAAAAAACGCTTTGTTTTTGGCCTGAATTCCGATTTTTCGATTTGCCTCGAAACACATTAAATTTGTTTTTACAGCAAACCTCGGAAGAAGAATTGTATCGTTTTTCCTCTGCTGCCTGTACGGTACTTTAGATCTTGCTTATTATTGGCCCTCCTGTTCTTCACAGTAATCGTAAGCCATAGATGAGGAAGCCTTAATTTGTTAATTCTGCTGAAATGCGACAAACATCGCGGAATACAGCACGTGGTAATCACGCAGCGGTGCAAAACAGATATAGATTTATGATAACGTATCCTTTCGCATTAATCCGTATCACAAGACAGATAGATTTAGTCAATTTTCCTGACATCAAAAGATAAAATTCAAGTCTTTACTGTTTTACTGCCATCCAAATACTGTTTTGCATAAAATTTTTA